AAAAAAGCTAAGCTTTAATAAGAATCTTTCTTAAATTCTACAAAAAGAGGGTTCAAAAGTCCCTGAAGTGGTTAACAAGGGAGGAAACCTGTAGTCAAATACTTGTAATAAAAAGTTAAAGTTGACTTGTGTCTTTGTGTAGGGAAGGTCCACAGATTGGGTAGTGAAGGAATTCCCATCCGCTGCTGAAAATGGATCGATTTCTCGACGTCAAGACTTTCCGCCTGGGTACCACTGAACTTTGATTTTTCAACGATGAATCAATTTGAAATCGATAGATCAAATAAACTGGGTGGGCTAACGAGAAGGGAGAAGAGCGCGGTTCAAAGCGACAAAACACCAAAAACTCGGTCCACCTCCTGGCAAAATAGTTCCACAGGGGATACAGTGCACCATGGCGGTGGACTGGCCTCGTTGGTCTTGTGGCCAGAACTCGAAAGACGATCAATCGATGTCCCTGATCTCCGACCCCTGGCGCCGACGTGCACTCGTGGCCATTCTCTCGTTGTCTTTTGGGGCGGGGCTAAGCGATGCCAATTGGCAGTGCCCGCCCGCAGTTCACCACGTGCTTCGTCGTTGTCGCTGGGGGGATTCCCGAACTCGTCGAGCTTCTTCCCTCTAGATCCGACGTCGTATTTTCGATGTTGGGTGCAGCTGTACTGCGTCACCTGCAGGCTGCACTTACCAACTTACCACCCACCTCGTTAATCCACTTTATTCCTGTGGTCAATGAAGTCCTGCGGAAGGCACTTTCGGAAGGGCCTTCATGGGTTTCTATGGCTTTAATGGTCTTTGATGGTTCATTCTTGTTTACTGCTTCTTCAAGTGAAGTCCTTTTTTGACTGTTTTCTCTCTGTTTGCTCTTGTGCTCGATTCTACGATAAGATAACACATTCTATAAAATGCCAGTAACTTCTAGGTAATGCTGAGCAATTTGGCGCGTACTTCTGGCCGTATGGCCTTCATCCGAGGGATATCGTCCGCTCAGATGGACGCCCATGCTCAAGTCATCGATGAACAGAAGCCAATGGAAGAACAGAGCAACCCGTCCTTCTTCAAGGTTCCTTTTCGTCTCAGTTCTTGGACTTTTCATCGTAGACTATCGTAGAGTATCAAGAAATATACTTAAGTATCATGCTTTCAGATGGTTGATTACTATTTCGATAAGGGAGCATCTGTTATTGAGCCAAAATTGGTCGAGGAAATGAAATCAAATGTGATGAGCACAAAAGACAAGAAGAACCTCGTCAGCGGTATTCTGAAAGCGATCAAGCCGGTCAACAAGGTTAATTGCTAAGTGTTTTGTTTGAAGTAGTTCGATTCTATTCGCACTTGGTAAAAGGTTAATACAAATTAGCACGGCAAAACCCTGTGTAACGCATGTGTTTATCCGCATAGTTAAGTATAGAGTATTGATTAAACCAAAGGCGAAAAGACTCGCTTACAGTCAACATCTCAATGTACGCATGAACTGAATACATTCCTACCTGGTACTAAGGTTCCAGTTTCTGGATTTACGCCGGAATTCCAGCTATTTTAGGGATCAAATTTCCCCTTTCAATTTATCAGAAATATAGACATTTCTGAATACTACTCATGTCCAGCATGATATGACCTTGGTCCGGATTTAACACCTTACCAGGTAGCGGAGATCGCGCCATGCATGTTAGTCATCAGTTCCGATATACCCCTTTACCTAAGTATAAACCCTCTGAAAACGCTGAGTCCCAAGGGTTTTCCGGAATCGAACTCATCCTGCATGAGCGTGAAGAATCGAACCCGTCCTGCATGAGCATGAACCCAGAACTTTGAGCCTTTCATCGTTAACAAGTAATTCACTTGCCCCATCAAAATCTATTGTCCAGTTCTTGTGAGAGTGTATATTGTCTCCATCGAACTTCACCTCGTAATGTTCCGCCTGAGCTTGAAAAAAAATTGCAGAAAAACTTTGTTCCCACATTAACCAGGAGCAAGATCCCCGTCGTGTGAGAAAGATACTTCTTGATGATGAGATTACCGGATTCCGGGTTCGCACGTTTGTGAAAAGTCGAAGAGTCCGCAAGTTTTCCAGAGAACCCCGAAGGAGGGCTTGAGCGATATTGGTAGCGGAGTGGATGACCACTAGATATGTCAGACTTCGGTGAGGGTTCCGATCTCACCTGAGGTCTAATAGTGTTCTGAATCTTAGTAGTGGCGCTCTCTGTTAACGGCTGTGAAAAACGACAGCTAACTAAACAAATGATGCACAATGTATGTTGATAACAGTTGAAATGTGCAGCCGTCGCTGTTGGTTAGTCTCTTCAGGATGCGCCATGTTTCCAACTCTGTTCAGAATAGTTTGAGTAAATTCCTGGACTATTGGTTGTCTAATGGGTTACGTAGATAGCCAATGTTAATCGCTTTTCCTTCACTAGGTAGACTGACTTCATCCAGCTAATTCCTTTCGATTGGAGGAATCTTCGTGAGCTAGATGGTTCATGGTACACTAATCCTAGATTAGCTCATTAGAGTATCCCTCGTCAGTCTCTGTCTACTGATGCTCTAGTAAAGAATTGTCTGAGAGCCATTTTCCGAACCATCTTACTCACTACTTCTTGCTTTACTTGATTTTTCAAATT